CATACATTTTTTTTTTTTTTTTTGAGGATTCTGAGGGAAAAGAGGAAGACTCTGGAGAATCTTCTGGAGGCCTAAGAGAGAAAACCTGGGCTTTTGTTTAAGTTTGACTTTTCTTCAGTGCATTCACCACTCCAAGACTGACAAGCAGGAGAAAGCTCTCTCGTGCTAGCTGTTTTTCCAAAATCATGTTTAGATCAAGGCTCCCTTCCTGTTTTGCTTCTTGTCTTCTTTCTGTACATGTATTTACTCATTCATTTAGTGAACATTTGCTGGGCACTGAATCACTTTCAGGCGTTGGACCAGGCACTAGGAACACAGCAGTGGAGACTTGGTTCCTAGCTTCCTAGCGGCTATAGGCTGGGGGGATGTGGAGGTAAGTTGCTAGGCAATGAAAAGGCAGTAGATACGGTCTCTGGGAGAGTGAATTCTGAGCAGTGGAAAACTGAACAACCTTCTGGGATGAAAAACAGTGGTTAGAAGTTCTGAGATGAAGGGGAAGCAGTAGGTTGAAGAATGTTCCAGAATGGCATGAAAAAATGGGTAGGAGAGTTTTTGACAGAATTGAAGAAAAGTTAAAAACAGTGAAGATGAAGGCAGATACGTATTGACACAGAACTTTGAAGGTCATGTTTAATTAGCTGGCAATTATTTAGCAGCTGGTACCTAGGCATACACTCTTGGTTTGACCTTCATGCCCTTTCTAGTTTGTTTTGTTTTTTCTGAGAATGTCACTGGATTGATTATGCTTCAGTCTCTGGAATCCATCTGTGCTGTTCATTTAGGTTTCCTTGTGTTTTTGAACAGGTCTGGCCTGGGCCTGCTGAAAAAGAACTGAATGATAAAGACTTCAATCAATGGAGAGTTCAGATTTATCCATGAACTAACAAGAGTGGCCTTGACTGTTTTCATGAAGTAACGTGTGGAGCTTCAAAAAAGGCAAAGGGCTGCTGGTTTTCTCTTGAACTAGAATACTTGAATGTTGGACTCTAGATCAGAGATGACAGAGCTTCCAAAGACAGGTGTCCAGGAATGCACGTACTCACTGTGATGTTGCCTTCTGAAAAATCAAGAATCCTGGAAACAGAGAGAGCTCAGAGACAAATGCTCAAGGGATAAGCTCCCTTCCTTGAAGGAGTAATCAGAATTAGAAGGAGCCTCATTTGGGGGCATAGTCTTTATTGGAGTAGTTGAAGATAAATGAATGTATTTCATAAGTCAAATATTTATGATTTGGGGAAGGTAAATTGGAGCATGTATTTTATGTTGGGACACTTTCAGGGGGTGCAGAGCTGGCATCTTGAAATCATCACGTTAATATTTGCAAAGCAAAATGTTTGAGTGTCTGTACAAAGTTAGACAATCAGAGATGTAAGAAAATTTCTAGTGAGAGTGGGTCAGGTTTTACCCATAGATCAATCAAGCTCCCAACAGGTTTTGCTGCCAGATGAGTTATATAATGAAGTTTAGTTTTTAGACTTTGGGGATTTTGAATTCCAGATGAAAGAGTCTGTGCATCTGTAGCATACCAATTTGTTAGGCATGGTGGGAGAAATTGTTCACTACAGGAACTGAAACTGACTCTAGGAGATTTTTTTTTTTGAGACAGAGTCTCCCTATAGTACCAGCTGGCCTGGAACTCACTATGCAGAACAGGCTGGCTTCTATCTCACAGAGATCCACCTACCTTTGCCTCCTGAGTGCTGGAATTAAAGACGTGCATCACCACACATGCTCTAAAAGACTCTCAACCAAGGACCACATGGAGTGAACCAGCAAAAGATTCTTTTAACCTGCTTTCCAGGATTCTGATTCACATCAAAAACCCCCGTTTAGAAGAAATTTCCAAAGAAAATCATGAAATTCCCTTTTCTGTGTATTTAAGAAAATGTTGATTTTTCTTTAGAGTTTTATGAACAGATAAATATATCAATAGGACTTCTGTATTTCCCATACACATATATGGCACGTGTGGGTCTCTTCCACTGGACTGTGTGCTCCAGGGAAATACAGACCTCATCCTTTTCTCTCATCCTTGTATCTGGGGTGTAGGAAGTGCTCAGTAAAGGTTTCCTGAGAAGAAAAACAGTAGCATGAATTACAGACTGTAAAGGAGGTGGGCTTTGAGAAGAGGTGTACTGGTGACTACTGTACCACTGATCACCAGTGAAAAAAAGCATTTGTGTTATTTTACTCATCCGGAGGGTTTATAGGACAGATTTACAAAACATGATAAAATATGCAACGTCATTTTAAAATTGTCAATTGATTCTCTCAGAATGCTGCTTTAGGGAGGGAGTAGGCATGGATTTGATCAAAACACGTTATATGCATGTATGAAATTCTCAATAAAGTTTCTGTAAAAGTTAAAGATAATTTTAACTCCCCCCCGCCTTACAAGTGATAAATAATTGACCTTCTTAAAAAAGAGAAAGTCATTTGTATTGTACTTTTTGTGTGTATGAGTGTTTTGTCTGCATGTGTGCAAGTGCACCTATGCATACAATGACTACTGAAACTGGAGTTACAGTGTTCAGTCACCATGTAGGTGCAGGGAATTGAACCTGGGTCCTCTGCAAGAGCAGCCAGTGCTATTGACCACTGAACCATCTCTCCAGACCCTCAGAATACTTCTTAACTCAAGATCAAGAATTGGCTAACTTTGTCTTAAGAATTAAATTTGACCCGTAACTTATTTTTGTAATAATTTATTATTTTTTAAATTTTGTGTATATGAATGTTATGTCTGCATGTAAGTAAGTGCACCTGTGTTGTGCAATGCCCGTGGAGGACAGAAGAGGTTGTCAGATCCCCTGGAACTGGAGTTACCGACAGTTGTTAGCTCCCATGTGGGTGCTGGGATTCAAACCCAGGTCTTCTGCAAGAACAGCTACTGTTCTTAACCGCTGAGCCATCTCTCCAGTCCTGCATAACTTATTTTTGTAAATAAAATTTTTAATTGATGCATAGTCATACCCACTGACTGCTTTTGCTGTTTTTGTACAGCAGCAACAGAGTATATATGTATATATATATCCCACAAAGACAGAAATATGTACTATCTGACCCTCTACAGAAAAGTCTATCTTCCCCCCACACACTTTTCTTTTCCTTCCTCTATTTCTCGTTTTACAACCCTTAAAGTGGAAAATTCAAGTTTTAGCACGCAAGTCATGCAAAAATAAGCCGGCATTCGAATTGAACATTGACGCACAGATTCATAAGTCCTGCCTTTGGTAACTAACAAAACACTAAATCAAGTCTTGATTTGTAGTATTCAGTCTACTGACATGATATTATTAACATAGAATGGAAGAGATACATGGCAATGAACTCTTCTGTAATATTTCCACTGTATAGAGTAAGAGCTGCCAGTAACATAGGAGCACAAATAGTAGTAAAATGTGATAAAATAATGTAGAAGTAATGAGTTCCAACAATTTGTCTCTTTTATGTTTAAAGTAACTTTTATAATGAGATGTGTGTATAATTGAACTTTAGTTACAAATTTCACTGCTGTGTGGGAAGAAGTTTTCTGAAAACATATTAATTTTTCTCTTTTTTAAAAATTTTATTTATTTATTTTTATTTTTTATTTATTATTTTTATTTCATGTGTATGAATATGTATTGCCTGCATATATGTAAGTGCCCATGGAGGTCAGAAGAGGGCATCAGATCCCCTGGAACTGGAGTTACAGATGGTTATTAGCCTCCATGTGGGTGCTGGGAATCAAACCTGAGTCCTCTGCAAGAACAGCCAGTGCTCTTAACCTCTGATCCATCTCTCCAGCCCCATGACTTGTGCAATTCCTGACAAAGTATAAATTCTTAAAGGCAATAAAGGCTGAATCTAGTGCGTTCCTGGTCCTCTGAATCAATCCTTATCAGAGGTCTGGGTCCTTGTGAGTCCTGGAGGAGAGAGATGGGCATTCTTGTTTTGTATCTCAGTTTTGGTTCTGCCCTAGTTAACTTCTAATTCTATGATAAAACATTGACCAAAACCAACTTGGGGGGAAAGGGTTTATTTGCATTACAGCACAGTCCATCATGGAGGGAAGGCAAGAACTCGGGGCAGGAACCAAGAGGCAGGAACAGAAGCAGAGACCGTAGAGAAGCACTGCTTATTGGCCTGCTCTGCTGGCCTGTGCTTAGCCTGCTTTCTTATACAACCCATGACTATGGGCCCAGGATTGGCATTGCCAAGAATAGGCTGGGCCCTTCTACATCACTCAACAATCAAAAAATGCTTCACAGACATGGCCCCAAGCCAATCAGCATCCAACAGTTTTGAAGCTAATTAAAGCGAAGTACTAATGACACTAATAGAACCTGATCCACACTGGATTCTTCCTGTACAGGTGCAAAGTGAACTAGCAGAGGTGAAGGAGAGCGTGAAACCCAGGGGATGGAGTTGCTAAAACAGTTCTCCTTCCCATGGGACACCCTGGCCAGACCTGCCAGCTCAAGTGGTCATCGTGGTGACCTGATTCTTAGGTATGGACTTTATTCCATGGTGTACGTAAATAGACATACAGGGGGTTGGGGGGATATTCATTGTTTTGAGTTGTTTGACTTCATTTATTGTTGCCTGTTAGTAAGCAGACTTTTGGCTTCTATCTTTGGGAGGGTTATCCTCATCTCGAATGGCAATGTAGTGCCCTGTTATTTGCAATATTACACTTTTAAAGGAGAAAAGAGAAGAGTTGACTGATGTAGTCATTATCATGAGCCAACAACAGGGTAGAACCACCATCATGCCATGCCTCTCATGCCGAGCTTGTTAATGGGTGTAATTTGTTAGTCTTGCAGGAAGGAATCTTCAGGTCATTTACATTGTGAGAGGTGAGGAGGAAAAGCTAATTGAACAAGGTTGTCACCTTCCTGAAAGCATATTCAAAGGCTTGCTGAGCTGAAGGATTAGACTAAAAGGGAGGGGTTATTGCTAAGAGCCTTTTTCTCCTCTCTCCATTTTGCTTTTCTTCATTCAACAGTGACTTCTGGAAATAGTGTCTAAGGGATGGAGAAAGAAAGATGAAGAGAGGGAAGCTACATTTCCTTTTTATTTTCCTCTTTCCTTTGAAAGCTGCACATGAAGAGCGTGTGGCTTGTGTGGAGTGGATGCAGAGGTCTGCAGCTCTCAGTGACATTACCAAGGGGAATCCAGGGCCAGAGGTATGCAGGTGGGGCTGTCAATCAGAGGTAACATCAAGGGCTCTTACAAAAACAAAAGGGAAGAAAATGGATGTTTAATCAATAAAGTTGCTCTCTGCTTAACCTTTTGTGTTTTAAGCAACATTCACCGGAACTTGGCAACAGAGTCCAATATTTAACACATAAAAGATACTCAGAAAGGCGAAGCCTTGGAGGCAGCTAGAAAGTGAAGATGGGACAGAGGGTCAAGAAATGGAATGAAAGAGACTTGGAGGAGAGGGAGGTCAAATGCACGTTTAAAAGCTGGATCCTTTAAGAACAAGCAGAGGGCTATGTGGGAGACAGATGCAAAAGTCCAGCATTAGACTTCATAGGTGTTGGGCCCCTGATGATCCTGAGCTATATAGAGTCTGCCTTTCCTTACTTTTAAAAGGTAATCAGCTAGAAAGGAGTCTTAAGAGCAGCCATGGGTTGGAACACCTTGTTTAGCCTACTGTTTTCACAGCACCTGGTTAGATCCCTCTAAGCCACTCTTAACTTAGGATGTATAGTTCAGGATGGTGGGAGGGCAGCATCTGGGCAGAGCCTTTGACTCTTTGGCAATACTCAAGTTAGGCTTTTCATAATCTCTCTGTACTGTTATCGTGTCTCCACATTCAAGCCATTCTCCAGTGTCGGGTGACTAAGATTAACTTTGAAAATGTAAAAATTATAGAAAAGTGAGAAGAAGCAAATAAGAATCCATATCTCAGCTTTTTTGTTTTTTCCTACCTTTCCTTCCTTCAATACCATATTTATTATGTGTCAGAAACTGTTTTAGAAAGATGACTATCAACTACCCATTGCCTCTGTTTGGAAGGAAAGACATGTAGGCAAATGATTATAATATGTTGTTCCAGTATGTGCATACATTTGATGTTTATTTTTATAATTATTTTGGTTATTTACTTTGATTAATCAATATATGCAAACAGGACAAAATTCAAAAGCTTAGACAGGCAGAAAGTGAATGATGGATTTCTCTCTTTCCTCTACCCCTAAGCTGCTCAATTTCTCATCTCAGAGGTGATCACTTGAACAAGTTTCTTCTTTTCCTTTGTGTTCTGACTCTTTACATGTATATGTATATATTTATAAGCATGTACATACTTGAATGCACATACATGATGCTTAAGAAGTTTGCTGTAACTTGTTTATATCTTTCACATTTTACTTTGTATATTTTGGAAAATTATTATGAGTATCTAATATCCACCTACTTTTCATTAACTGCATAGTGTTTAATTGAGGCTATATTAAAGCACATATATGCAAAAAACATATGTCTTCAAATCTATGCTTGGCTATGTAAGCTTTTTGGTACAACCTGTTGAGTCAACTAATCATATTCCTTAATGCACAACACATTGCCAACCCTGG